CAATCCTACTTCCGTAGTGATACTGCCTCGGAAACCCAAGGAGGGGTCGCTATGAGTCGGGGCCGACTCGACGGCACATAACAACAACAACAGCTTAAAACATAAAACGTTTGAAAACCACTGATCTAGAACCTTAGACTGAGAGCCAGGAAACCTTTGTTCAGGGCCATTTCTCTCCATATGTGTCTCCATGATAGCACATTGGTTTTCTTTTGGTCTCAGTCTTCTCATCTGTAGGAAGGGTTGAACCAGGTAGTCTTTAAGGTTTTCCAGCTCTTAACTTCCATGTCTTTATGATGCTTTGAATGAGAGCAAGTTATAATGTGGCTTTGTTAATTTTGTTATTTTGAGTAGCTTCTGCCCAAAGATCAGTGACTTAAGGAAATCAAAAGTCTTTAAAAAGTTTAAGTATGACTTACACAGGAAAGGTAAAAGTACAGATGACCCATGGTTGGATTTTCCCCTTTTCTGTAGGAAAGCCTGCATCATTTTGGAAAATGCCGAACAGATATAACCACTAGCTCTAAATTTCAGGGAATAGAAACACCTTCCCAGGTAAGTTTTCTTTTAAAAAGGGAGGGACATAGTTCTTTGGGGAAATAGGCTAAGAGTGGCACTTACTATTTGGTTCCATTTAGACTCTTCTCCCTGGGTGATCAAGCAGCAGCAGTGGGTACCTGTGACAGGCCAAGTGGTCTTGATCCCTCCCAGAGCCTGAGAGGGTGTGCTGCTCGTGCTTTGGGGCACTGGGTTCTCCCTAGAGCACTCCACATTCTATTTTCTTTTGGTTATTGTTTACAGAGTTCGTGAGTTGATTATCTTCTTAAAGTAGGAAGGTCTCAGCCCTAAGATTCCAACCCCAGGGGGGAAAAAAGTAATCAGCCTTTTATTTCCCTTTAGAGAGGAACCAAATCTTACACAAACCTGTACAGGGTCAGTTCAACTTGTGGAGAACATTTGAAAGAGAAAAGAAAGAGGAAATTAGCATTTTTTCAAGAACCTATTATATACAGGACACTATTGCATTTTTCTATATCTCATTTAATTCTCATATCCCATGTGAAATATATACTGTTACCCTGTTTTTACCTTTTAAAAATTATTATGCTTTATTATAGAAATTTTTCAAACATATAAAAGTTAAGAGAATCATGTAATAAATCCCGTTATTCTCATCATGTACCTTCAACAATTATTTTTGCACACAGCCAATCATGTTTCATCTGTTCCCTTCTTACTCTCCTCATTCCCCCACTGGCCACTCTCCTAAATCCAAATTGTATTGAAGCAAATCTTAGTCATCAAATCATTTTATACCACAAATAGTTCAGTAGGACATCTAAGATAAAGACTCTTTAAAATAAAAGAAATACAATCTTAATACCACATACTACACCTAAACATATCCTAACAGCTTAATAACACCTACATAATATCAAATATCTAGTTCATGCTTAAATTTCTGTAATTGTCTTTAACTTTAAATTTTTTTAAATTTGACTTATTTCTATCAGGATCCAGCAAAGTCTACATATTTCATTTGATTGCTATGTCTCCTAAGAGTCTTATTCTTTTAATTTAAAGGCTCCCACTTCTCTTTTTTTTCTCTCTTATGATTTTTTTATTAAAGAAACCAGGACATTCATCCTAACGAGTTTACAACATTCTAGACTTTGCTGAACCATGCTAAGGGTTTTATATTCGTTAACTCATTTAATACTCTCAAAAACCCTGTGAGAAGGCACTATTATAATTCCCACTTTACAGATTGAGGTTCTGAGATATTAATCTTTTGAACCAAGAACTCAAATGGAAAGTTTCATACTCTGAATCTCATTATTTCTCGTGATAGGAATTAGATAGAGAATTAACCCTTAACTTTGTTAGCAGGCCACACTAACTGCTGGTCCTAGATCTTTATAGTTTAGGGCAAAAGAGCTCAACGTTAGTCACTGACACTTACTCACCACACTCATGCAAAAAAAGGTAGACATGAGCCATAGTCTAAGAGTAATACACCAACTTCCTAAAGTCCATTTCTAAATGTGCCATCACTGTATTCAAAAATCATAATGGTCCACACTGCCAAAGTAAACAAATCCACGTTTTCACCTGGCACTCAAGATCTTCTACAATTTGATTTTTCTAACCTTTTCTTCCATTATTGGCAATCATATATCCCATAAACTATATATATAAACCATAAACAGGTGTATTAAATTCTTTTATAAGCCCTTGTTTTAGGCTGTAGGAGAATGAAGGGTGAGAACAAAAGCAGCTTGAGGGCTATGGTGGGGTCACAAGCCTTTAGTGAGAGGCAGAGAATCTGGTGGCAGGGGCCAAGGGGATGTTAGGTGTAGCTCCTTTGACTGAGTCTCCTGAACACCTCCCCTTCCCTGTTTCTTCTGAAGTTATACAGTTTCTCTAACTTTAAGCCAAAACAGGAACATCATAGGTTACAACTGTATCTCTTCTAATTCGCTGGGTTAGCAACACAAGGGCTCAGCCTCAGGCTTGAGAGCCATGTTGGCAAAGACTCACTATGGAGTTCCTTCTGTGTGGGGTGGTAGTTCTCAGATACCATTACTTTGTAACCTTGCATTGTGTGCCATTACACTAACCACATTTCACCCACTCTGAACCTATTTCATGTCCACCTCTTTCCAATGGAAAACATGGAAGTTCAATTTATTAATAAGTCCACTAGATTCAGTGTTAGACCCAAGGGGAGCCTTAGTGAGCAGCTTGCTATAGGACAGGGTGAGAGTATTCCAAGGCTTCCTTGCAAAAATAGTGTTAGGGAAGTGGAGCATGAAGCAGCTCTTAGCTGGCAGGGACAAGAAAAGAATGGTATGCAATCTACTAATGACTTATGGAGGTCTTCCTCTTGAGTTTTCACATATGCTATTCCCCATGCCTAGGAGACAACTCTTTGTGTCCGCCAAATCATAAATTTTCCCCTAACGCAATCACAACTAAACGTCTACCCCCATATCAACTCTTTTCAGCTGCATCTTGCTGTACTGTTTTAGCTGTTTTGTTGTTTTTTTCTGGTTAGTTGCCCTCTCAGTCAAACAACCTGCAAGCAAGACCTGCCTCCTTACTGCTACATACATCCCCGCAATAATTAGTTCATTTTTTCTGAGGTAGTTGTGAAGCAACATACATAAAAATACATACCTATTTAATCGACACCCAATAATTATTTCCTTCATTACAGTTGTTTCCTTAATTAACTACTGTCCTAAACCAGCTCTGTTAAAAAAAAAAAAAAAAATTAGGAAAGTTGACATTAAACTTTTTATCTCCACCTAGATTGAGGCTTCTATTATTTTTCAGAATAGGTATGTTGGATATTTTGCCAAAGTGAAAAATGACTACCACTGGGATCTTCCTCCAATCAAATTCCTCTTTTTAAAAAGCATTGTTATTTATTCAATTCATGGTAAGTGCTTTAGGAATGTATAATTGAAGAATTGAGCAGGAGGGTTTTGTTCGTAGCTGTGTACACAGACAGTCCCACCTCCCAGCTGTCTTTTTATGTATCCTTATGTATTAACTGTCCGTACCCACGGAGTTGTCCATTAGCTCAGTGATCCTGTGGCTATATTGTCAACTCTTAGATTTCTTTTCCCAACTCTTGTCTTGCCTTTACATATATCACCAATTTGGACAGCTCCAGTCCTTTCCTCCTTTTCCTCTTCTCATTGCTATTCTGGCCTCACCCAGAGTAGACTTTCCAGGGTAGAGCCTCTGACAGAGGAGAGAGGATGGGGTTGTTCACCCTTAAGGCCACTTCTTTCTCACGCTCACTTCTAGTTCAGGGCTCATTAGTGCAGGCATCATCAGGCCTCATATCGTTTTCTCAATGATGCCTTTCAGGGACCCCTTTCTGCTCATCTCTTTCCCTTTCCTCCCCCACTAGCAAAATTTTCTCCCCAGAAATCTCCATCCAGATGTCTTAAATATCTGAACTGCAAATGAATTTTACTTTGTTACCCATTAGTTCTTTTTACAAATATCTATTGAGTACCTGCTTTGGGTGGGCCCTGTGCTAGTGCTTCCATGCCCTGTGGAGGCTCTGGTGGTATGCAAAGGAAAGACATGATAACGGACTGTGCATGGTGCTCTGGGCACACAGCCCAGCCTGGGGTCAGGAAAAGCTTCCTGAAGGGCAGCACTTAAGCCCACCTTGGCCTCCCTATGTGAATCTGTGTGAAAACGGAAAAGGTTAGGAAAAAGCTGAGCTCATGCAGAGGGGGCTTTTCAATCCCCTGGCTCTTACCAATTATTACCAGTAGACAAAATTCTTATAAACTTCAAAAGAGCTAACCTGCTTCAGGAATATAAGGAGAGAGATGAAATCATGACATTTCACCATTGTCCTGGGAGGCAGGAAATTTAGTTTCATTTAGAAGCATCGTCTGCTTCTGGGACTTGAGAAAGAAAGGACAGAAAGCATCTCTCTTCCCACTTACCCATCACCCACCTGGCTTCCTTTGCACTCTGGCAGTGGGATTCAGGATGACCCCATGTGGAGAGGATGGGGTGTGGGGTGCTTGGCTTTCACTGCCAGAGATACAATAAGGGAGAGATGCTTCTGAATCTTATAAGCAAAGCTCTGCATCCTTTTCTAACAGCGAGATTATGGAACATGGTGAGGCGCCAAATGTGTGCCTCCTGGGTAGGGCCAGGTGCTGGTACCCAGCCAGACAGTCAAGTTTACTTAGCCTTCTGAAGAACAAGATCTAGACATATTTCCTTTGACGCTGAGGTCCATTTATTCATAAATAAAATAATCCTTTTAAAAACATAAAAATGACATAGCCCAAATATAAACTACAATTGTTAGTTAAAATGCAAGTTGCTTTTTTTCAGATTGTTTATGTATGTTTATTTCTTCTACACATATCCCCACCACCTCTTTTTGGTGATGAAGTATTTTGATGGATATCACAGACAGATTAAATATGTTTCTGGCTTCCAAAAGCAAACTTCAACTCAGTGACATTGTTTCTGTGAGAGATTTTGACCTAGAAGTCCAATCAAGTATTGTACAGGCAAACCCTTGAAACAACACCTATGTATAAAAATGACCAAGTGTTTGTGAAAAAGGGCTTTGTAAACTGCATGGTCCTCTACAAAGTCCAGTATGACTACTTCTTGGGACATGTGTGAATCATGAGATACAGGGTTGTAGTGGCTAATAGGTTCTGATCTCATTCAGAACCTCAACTGTTGTCAGACATCCCCAGGGGAAGAGGTGCCCAGGTTTGCTCTATAGGCGTGTAGGGGTGGGGCTAGCAGGGCCCTTGCTCCTCCTACTGTCCACACTTGGTGGGCCCCAGCAAAATAACATGTACTTCTTTACACTGAAATGTGAGCGGCAACAAGGTCTGCTGTTAGAGCAGTTTCTTCCACTAAGACATTTAAAACCAACTGTGAAATCCAGTTGGTGGCATGACAGCTTGTATTGTACCCTGAGTATACTCTGCCTCAGTTTCCTCTTTCTTAACAGTGGCAACAACAGGATCTACTTTGTTAGTATTAACTATTCCAAGCAGACAAAGAGGCACCAATGTCTAATCTTTTAGTATAATAGAGTTTTAATGTAGTTCTCTAATGTGAACCATGACCGAGGCAGTATCTCTATGGAAGTAGATTGCCCAACCTTCCTTCCAAGGAGTGGCTGGTGGGTTTGAACTGCCAGCCTCCTGGTTAGCAGTCAAATGTCTTAGGCACTATGCTACCAGAGCTCCCAACAATACAAATAGTTTCTCATAATACCAAGTTAAAAAAAAAAAGTTTAACAAGTTCTAGAATTATGTTGTCTCAGCCTGATATCCTATCCTAAAACTATGATTTCTCTATTAAGAATATCTTGGGTTTTGTTTAAACCACACGGAGGCATAGTTTAGTTAAAACTTTAACTTGCAGATCTAGAGAAGAGGGGACTTCATCCAAATTTAGAGGTACTGCAGGTGAAATCAGGTAGAGAGTTTCTTGGTTTGGTTTCCTACCTCAGGCTAGCATAAAATGTTGGTAGGTGCCATCCAGTCATTTTCAACTCATAGTCACCCTATGTGATAAAGTAGAACTGCCCCACATAAAACAGTCTTTTAAAAGTCCAATCTGAGATTCCTTAGGAAGACTTCTAGACAGAAGTTGATTTCATGGCCTTAGCAGCTGTTCAATATTGTATGAGTTTAAGAACTGCAGAGCACACTTAATGTTGCCTGTATGTTGTTGTTGTTGGGTACTGTCAAGTTGATTCCGACTCATAATGACCCAATGTAAAACAGAACGAAACACTACCTGGACCTGTGCCATCCTCACAATTGTTGGCATGTTTGAGCCCATTGTTGCTGCCACTGCATCAGTCCATCCCATTGAGGGGCTTCCACTTTCATGCTGACCCTCCATTTTACCAAGCATGATATCCTTTTCCCAGGACTGGTCCCTTCTGGCAACATGACCAAAGTACGAGAGGCAAAGTCTGGCTATTCTGGCTTCTAAGGAGCATTCTGTCTGCACTTCCTCCAAGATGGATTTATTCGTTTTTCTGGAAGTCCACGGGATAGTCAGTATTCTTCACCAACACCACAATTCAAACGAATCAATTCTTCTGTGGTATTCTTTATTCATTGTCCAGCTCTCACATGCATATGAGGCTATTGAAAATATTGTGACTTGGTCACGCACACCTTAGTCTTTAAGGTCACATCTTTGCTCTTAAACACTTTAAAGAGGTCTTTTGCAGCAGATCTGCCCAATGCAAAATGTCATTTCATTACTTGACTGCTGTTTCCATAGGCGTTGATTGTGAATCCAAGTAAAATGAAATCCCTGTCTACTTCATCCTTTCCCCATTTATCATGATGTTGCTTATTGGTCTAGTTATGAGGATTTTTATTTTCTTTATGTTGAAGTATAATCCATACTGAAGGCTGTAATCTTCCATATTCATCGGTAGGTGCTGCAAGTCTTCTTCGCTTTCAGCAAGCAAGGTTGTGTCATCTGCATCTCACAGGTTGTTAATGAGTCTTCCTCCAATCCTGATGCCATGTTCTTCTTCATATAGTCCAGCTTCTCAGATTATTTGCTCATAATAAAGATTGAATGAGTATGGTGAAAGGATACAACCCTGACACACACCTTTCCTGATTTTAAACCACGCCGTATTCCCTCATTCTCTTCAAATGACTGCCTCTTGGTTTATGTAGAGGTTCCTTATGTGCACAATTGAGTGTTCTGTAATTCCCATTCTTTGCAGTGTTATCCATGATTCAATGTAACTCACAAAGTGGAATGACTTTGCATAGTCAATAAAACACAAATAGACATCTTTCTGGGATTCTCTGCTTTCAGCCAAGATCCATCTGACATCAGCAATCTTATTCCTTGTTCTATGGCTTGAATTTCTGGCAGTGCCCTCCCAATGTACTGCTGCAACCGTTTTTGAATTATCTTCAGCAAAATTTTATTTATGTGTAATAGTAATAATATTGTTTGTTAATTTCCACATTCTGTTGAATCACCTTTATTTGCAATGGGCACAAATATGGATCTCTTCCAGTTGGTTGGCCAGGTAGCTGTCTTCCAAATTTCTTGGCATAAACAAGTGAATACCTCCAGCACTGCATCCATTTGTTGAAACATCTGAATGGGTATTCCGTCAATTCCTGGAGACTTGTCACCAATTCCATCAGTGCAGCTTGAACTTCTTCCTTCAATACTATTGGTTTTTGATCATATACTACATCCTGAAATTGTTGAGCATCAACCAATTCTTTTTGGTACAGACTTTGTGAGTTCTTTCCACCTTTTTTGATTCTTCATGCATCATTCAATATTTTCCCATAGAACCTTCAATATTGCAACTCAAGGCTTGAGTTTTTTCTTCAGTTCTTTCAGCTTGAGAAATGCCAAGCAATGCCTGTATGGTAAATTAAAATTCTCATTTCATCTAATAAATAATAAGGCCAATTAGAACACTCTTCTTTCTTTAAGATTATTATAATCACAGCAGAAGGGAGATGGAGAGACTATCAGAAAAAAGTGTGAAAGACTTTGAAATATGGGCAGTATCCAACAAACATATGAAGAAATGCTCACGATCATTAGCTATTAGAGAGATGCAAATCAAAACAACCATGAGGTACCATCTTGTTCCAGCACTAGTAGCTAAGTTCAACAAGACAGAAAATAACAAATGCTGGTGAGGTTGTGGAGAGATTGGGACTCTCATACACTGCTGGTGGGACTGTAAAATGGTACAACC